CACCTACCAACCCCTCCAACCCTCCTCACATGGTGAAAATACTAGGGAAACCCCTGCAGTCACCACATCTGAAGACTGGTAAGCTGACAAATATAACATTTTTGTTTCTGGGTTTAAATACACTTAAAATAAAAAATCTTGTATCCCCAGATCTTTAAACCTGCAGCTGATCCAGAGGAAGGGAAAAAAGGGTGACAACACAGGAACACAATTGGGAGGCTGGAACACAGCGTTGTCACCCTAAAACAGTAGAGTGCCTGAATGGGGAACATTAATGGCTGGGATGCAACAACGGATGAAAAAGGCAAAAGGAGTATTGCATGAAAAAGGCAACTGCTTATGATGCACAGTGCTTTAGCAAACAAAATGTTGTTCACTTAAGGATTGGATATTGGTCTAGTTGTTCAGAATAAAGCAGCCAAAGAGTTAAAAGATGAGGATACAAGCCCCTAAAAGGATTTGTGGGAATCTGCAGAGGTGCCCGTCATTGAAGAAACCACTTAAGGAAGCTTGTGCAGCAACATCAATTTTTAATGCTCAGAGAACACATGAGATACACCATCTATGTGTTTTGTTGCTTTAATGTAGCCACTTCCTCATGAAGGTGTACACCCCAGAGAAGACAGTCACTCTGCAGCCTTAAAGTGTCCCCACACACCTTCCTGAGTAATGATAGAGTCACAAAATGTGTAGATGGGGTATCATATATGTTCTATGATCAATAAAGATCGATGTTAAAACACTCATCCCCATAATTCAAGCCGACCTGTGACACTGAAGATGTCACAGGCCGGCTCTATTGATCAGGAAGTCAACGAACACATACCGTTGATCGCTAAGTTCCCAATCCCGGTTTTGGGTCACCGGAGGAGATTATTATATGTGCTCCTCTGACCATGAAGAAAACTATGGCCAAAAAAAGGTTAAGCCATAGTTCTCTTTAAAGAATTTTCTTCAATCACAGGCGCCTCGGCAGATTCTCGCTCTTCCTTTTTGGGGCTTTTATCCTCATCCTTATCATACATACTGTAGGTTTCCACTGGCTCTACAGCACAGAATTGTCTGAAATAAACCCCAACTAACATTGAAAGTGAACTGGATCTGTGCTGGGGCAAAGAAATTGCTGGTACGCTCTTTTGTCCGGTTGCTCGATCCCCTCTATGCCCTCGTTCACACCTGAACGTTTTGTAGCGCGTTCTACGCTCGACGAACGCTCTACAAAACGCTCAAAATATAAATCCCATTGTATTCAATGGTCTCGTTCCCACCTTGGCGTATTTCCGCCCGTCCCTAACGCGCTACAAAACGGCCCACGCCTGAAAAGGTACAGGTACTACTTTGGGCCGTTTTGTTGCGCGATTCCATTGGGATACAGCCAAGTAGCCTTCGGAAACGCGCGACGGTCGCGCAACTTTTTTTACCGCAATACGCTTAGGTGTGAACGAGACCTATGAGTGTCCTGCAACCCACCATATGCGAGTACCAGATTTCCATTCCACCTGTAAACTATCTATCATATTACTTACAGAGACTACAATACTTCACTCAGAAGGGTCTCTACCGGGATTTAAAGGGGCACTTAAATACCAATGGTTTGGTTGCACAGAAAAACTCGTTCTAGGTAAGGCAGCGCCTATTAAAACATATGGAAATAATTTTTTTGCTTGCTCAACAATGTCTCATACCGTTAAGCTTGATGTATTCACTCAGCCGGTCTACGATCTCAGGTCTCATCTCCTTCTCTTCAATCATTTCACTCCTGACCTTGTCCCAAGGAACCTAGAACAGACAAGTGATTTGTTGTTTTTTGTTTTATTTCTAAACTGAGTTACGGGAGTTGCTCTATTGCCAGCAGAGAAAACTGCGCGCGTTAATGAAAAATGCCATCCAAACAGCGTATGTGACATAAGGATGTTGAAAATAGATGGTGATGGCTGCTGTTAGAAGACACATGCTAATTCCTGACTGCAGAGCTATGAAAAGTTGTCTCTCTTTTTCTAAATCTGCTTCAGACCTTAAGTGCCACTCCAAGGTCCGGTTGAAATGATATTCCTGCACGTTCGCAGATCCGTTATCAAAGTACTTTTTTTTCAATAGTTTCTGCATATGTCTTTGTACGTCCTTCAACATCTAGTATTAAAATAGGCTACTTTGACATTTTCCATACCTTTTGTTCTTTCTTCACCTCTACTCTACCTTAAAATCTTGCATTACTAAAATGATTTAAAGAAAATGAGCTGCATTGACAAAACCTCACTCAGTTTTTCTGATCTGCAGCTCTGACAGGTTCCTGTTTCAGGCACAAGGGAAATAAAGAGTGAACATCTAGGCTGCGCACCCAATTCAGCAGCATGTCAGAAGGCAAAGCTGCGACCTCTTACTACAGTATATATAAATTCACTTATGCTGACACATCATAATTACAGTTTATGTAAACCCAATCACTAAAATATCATATACACTTTAACATGTGAATGTAACTTCCTAAGTCATTTTCAACATTTTTTGATCTGCAGCTTTTATGGGAATAAAAAACAGATGGTCCTGTCATGAAGGCCCTTGGGCAGGTATAGTATCTGTTGTAGGGTGACAACACTATGTCCATGTCTCCCAGTTGTGCCTCTGCAAGTGCCCGTTTTGAACACATATAATGCATGCATTATCCACTGTTCTCACTATCAAGAAAACCCACCCTGAGATATGTCATGCAGACATATCTGGAGTGCATGCATCTAGACAGGAATTGGCTGCAGGAGATCAGCAGCACTGATATACAACAAAGGATGAAAAAAAAAATGCAAGAGCAAGCATTGTATTTAAAAAACAAACAAACAATGCATTATGATAGGAAAGTAGGACACTAAGAAAAACACTGGTTTATATTTAAAAAAAATAGATATTGTTACAAAATGAGGAGCGGCTGGTATCACTAGATATATAGCCAGTGGCCAATATGCATTTGAGCAGCAGGAACCCTTAGAAGTAACAGCTTACGATAGAAATACCCGGTAGTTTTAAAGCCCAATTGTTGTCTCACTTCTTTTTATCTCTTTGTAATCCTGTACACACGCAGGTTATGTTTTGTAACTGGCTGTTGCTTGGAAATACCTTTTTTTCCTGTGAAAATGTGGCTTTCTTCCCTCACACTTCAGTTTCCTATGCTATACAAGCTACACCACTCATTACAAGTCATGTCAGACAGATTTGTATTGTAGAGAGGAGGAGGGAGTGTATCTGACCAGTTCTGTTACTGACTGCTGCCCACTAATTGCCTGAGCTCTAACTCTATTACCTAGTGGACTGCACAGTCGAATTTAGACACCCCGCATGACTACTTAGGGCTTGTTCACACGATGTCCGGACCAGATCGCGGTGCTATGCGTTTTTGACGCGTTTTGCGTTTCCGGACCGTGACTGTGACAAAATGTGACATGCAGTATTTTCTCTGTCCGGACCTGAACAGACTGCGCACGTGAGAACTGTAGCCCATAAAACACATAGGGATACATCGGGATGCATTTTGGGTGCATGAGCGCACGGATCTGGTCCGGACAGAATCCGGACGTCGTGTGAACAAGCCCTTAAACAGGAAAGTGAACATGGAAGCTCATACTTGCCAACTGTCCTGGATTTGCCGGGACAGTCCTGCTTCTGAGTTAATTGTCCTTTGACAGCTGTGTTCTTGGCTGTGTCGCAGGATCACAGTGTAAGTCTCGCTAAGTGTTACTGCGTATGCACCGGCTCACCTTAAGGCTCTCACACTAGTTGCGTATGCACCGGCTCACCTTAAGGCTATCACACTAGGTGCGATTAAATGCATTTATATCCATGTAAAATGTTTTTCTACATGCATATACAGGTGAAACTCGAATAATTAGAATATCGTGCAAAAGTAATTGCAGTAAGTGCTGCAAAAGGGGTCCACACCAAGTACTGAGTACATATGCATGCTTGTACTTTTCAGAGGTCCGATATTGTTCTATGTACAATCCTTGTTTTATTGATTGCATGTAATAATCTACTTTTTTGAGGTTGTGGATTTGGGGTTCTTGGGGTTTTCATGAGCTGTAAGCCATAATCATCACAATTATGACAAATCACGGCTTGAATTATCTTGCTTTGCATGTAATGAGTCTATCTCATATATTAGTTTCACCTTTTAAGTTGCATTAGTGAAATAAATGAACTTTGCACGATATTCTAATTATTCGAGTTTCACCTGTATATGCATCTAATGATTTCAAATGGATCCATTCACATCTTGGGTTTAGATGCTTTTCTTTGCAATCAGTTTAGCACCGTTTAGAAAAAATAGAAGTCAGGTGCCTCCAGGAATTGATTTGAACTTCTAAACGCACCAAAACACATGTAAGCGCATGACATGTTTATTTGCTTAAATCACATTGGCTACTTCAACTGATTGTTTCAATGGACAAAGGACAGATGCATCTAGAAGCATAAACAAAGCATCTAGCCTGACAGATTTTGCAGACAGATCTCTGCATAAAAACGCGAGTGGCATGTATGAATAAAGCCTAATGCGTAAAATGACGGCCTGCATACTGGGATCTCCCTCTCCCCCTCTGGCGTAAGTCTTGCTTTGTGCTTGATCAGCTTCAATGGAGTAGAAAGGTAACATTAGGGGTCTAATTGACTCTTAATGTCCCCTTAATAAGCACCTGTCACCTATAATGTGCTATCACACAGGGGGCTTTTATCATGTCCCATTGTAACACAGACTCACCTGATGCAGGGGCCACTCTTGATGAACATGTGCCAGGTATTGGCACCATTTTGGGTAGGGATACACCAAAATTAAAATGGTACTATGGGCAAAATGGATCCCCTGCTTCTCTCCTCCCCGCTGGGCACCGGCTGCAAGCTTCGGTTTGTGTCCCCTCCGATCCCCACTGCTCTCCCCCGCCTGTGTCGGCAAAGGCAGCAGGGATCGTAAGGGACACAAAGCCGATCCAGCTGCCGGCGCCAAGCAGAGAGGAGGGAAGCTGTCAGGACTGATAGTTTTCAGTGGTGAGGAGGAAAGCTGAGCTGCGGGAAGGGCAGAATGGTTCAGGATGGAGAGATCCTTCCATGTACTCAAACATTTTACATTTTATTCAGTTACTGTGTCCCCAATTATGAATAAATATGAAGCTGCTCTACATCACTTCCTGTTAATTTAGGATTGTGGACATAGTAATTGATACTATGTTCTCAGTTTGTTGAAAATTAGAAAATGAAGACTGATTGGTTATCGTACTCCTAGGAGTGTGTATGTTGAGTTGTGGCTGTTGTGCGTCTCCTTATGTTATTAGACCGGGGTGTCTAACTGTATAATACTGAACAGAAAAAGGAAAAAATGAAGGAGTTAATAGATGGACAAGAAAAGGTTTTAAAAGGTTGGAAAAAAGTAATTTTCGGTTTTGGCCCGAGAAATGTTGAAGTAGTTTTCGGCCTAAAAATTTCATTTCAGTGCATCCCTTAATTTGGGTTATCCCAAAGACTCTACACTACCTCTAGAGCCAACCTGGCAGATAGTGGCAGTGGTGCTGATCTCCTCTAAGGGCTTGTTCACACCGAGCGCGGAGCAGATCCAGAGCAGAGCAGGTGCAGACCGGATCAAAACTGCGTCCAATGTATTCCAATGGTATTTTTTGCTCCAGTTCACATCGCAGCGTGCAGTTGCAGGGCAGATCCAGAGCAGGTGAAAAAACTGCAGCAGGCCCTATTTTACCTGCTCTGGATCTGCTCTGGAACGCATCAAAAACGCATCCCAATGCCTGGAACACACTGATAGCCCCTTTTAAACTTTACCCAACTTTACCCAAAACCTTAAACTTCACCCAACTTTACCTTAAACTTTACCCAAAAGAGCCCGGAACACATCAAAAACGCGTCTAAAAGACTAGCGTGCGTGTGCAGAAACCTGACCGGATCTGCGCTGCATTTGGTGTGAACAAGGCCTTATTGACAGCAATCTTTGCAGATATTGGTAATAAGCTTCCAGCACATGAAGTCTTCTATCACGCAGGCAGTAGGAAGTAGAAAACAAACCAGTATGATTATTCTTTTAGCAATAAAAGCTACAAAATTATTGGACTCTGAACTGCTTTAAAACATTGCAGTACTCTACTGAATACAACTAAATGTGTACTGCATTAAGGCAGTAATTTCATCAAGAATGGGCTGCCAACACGTGACAATAGAAAAACCCAGACTTTTTTTGTTTGTAATGCAGTGTACAACAACACATGACATGTCCATTATGGTGCGCTGCAGTGTAAATCCGTTGGCACCTACTGTACTTGTACATTAAAGGAGAACTAAGGGGTCAGTGCTTTTCCCCATAGTTCTCCCCGGGGTCACGGGACGACACAAACTAGCGTCCTTTCGCGACCCAAAGCTCAGTATACCGCGAGCTAAAGCTTGCGGTATACTGAGACCGCCGCAGCCGGGACGGATCCCGACATTACTGTCTGGATCCACCCAGATGCGTGATTGACGCTGGCTCTGCCTATCCAGAGGCAGAGCCAGCTGTACCCGCCCCTCCCCCGTCCGTTCCGCCAGTCAGTGTTGGAGGATCGGACAGGGGAGGGGGGGGAATCCCTGCAAGGAGCCGTGAGTGACAGTCACGGCTCTCTGCAGGGACAGGATCGAGAAGTGAGCGAGCGACGGTATGTGCTCGATCACTTCCCGATCTATTGAGCCGACCTGTGACAGTTTCATTGTCACACATCGGCTTGAACTATGAGGCTTCACTCACCTCGGGTGATTTTCACTCA